ACTACAGACCATCAATAAAATACAAACACAGCTGCAGCTCATTCATGGCTGCGTCTCATTGTCCTCCTCTGATATAGGGACATTTCTGAAGGACTCTCACTGGAGGAGAGGACTGTGCCTGGCTCTGATGTCTGAGTCCGTTACCCCAAAAACACTTCTATACTTCAATCTCTCTGTCTCTGTAGAGTTTAGAAACCTCAGTGTGCCAAAAACAAGACAGTTTTTGTAACTTTTAAAAAAAATATTGATATTTCCTTCTTTCTCCTTGTTACATTGTATATGAATATGTTCCATTGGGTATAAATATATTACATTGGGTATAAATATATTACAGTTTATATTTCCTTCTCCCTCCTTGTTACATTTTATATAAATAATATGTTCCATTGGGTATGAATAGGTAGCATTGGGTATGAATAGGTAACATTGGATATAAATATGTTCCATTGGATATAAATAGGTAGCATTGTTAGAGGGAATAATTAAGGACTATTTAGTAGAATTTGTTCAGGCTAATGGGATAGTTAGTGATAATCAGCATGGGTTTAGGAAAGACCGTTCCTGTCAGACAAACCTACTGACTTTTTACGAGGGGGTAAGTAGAGATCTGGATGGAGGGAGGTCTGTGGATGTGGTATATCTGGATTTCGCTAAGGCTTTTGATACGGTACCTCATAAACGCTTACTATACAAGCTGAGAGCTATGGGCATAGATGGAAGGGTGTGTACATGGATAGAGAACTGGCTAAAGGAACGGGTACAGAGAGTATCAATAAATGGCGCCCTCTCAGACTGGGCTAGTGTCATTAGCGGTGTGCCTCAGGGTTCTGTGCTGGGACCCATGCTATTCAACCTGTTTATTAACGACATCGGGGACGCAGTACACAGCGATATCTCAGTGTTTGCTGATGATACCAAAATTGGGAGGGTAATAGAAACAAAGTATGAATAGGTAACATTGGGTATAAATAGGTAGCATTGGGTATGAATAGAAGGGATCTGAGTCACCCGGAAACTTTGTGTCTTTACTAACTCAGGATCACATAAATTGCCAACCTGCTACACCGGAGGGAGGGGCTTCAACCTGCACAGACTGGGGGCAGCTGTTTAAACATTCAGGAAACAATTTTAAAGAAACAAAAAAATAAATAAAGAACAGTAATAAAAAAACCTAAACCGTTGTGATCTGTGAAGTGTGCGGGATGGAAAGGGTTAAAGATGCTGTCATTGTGGTTGTTACGGCTGCGCCGCTCAGGGTGTGTCTGGTGGATAAATGTTCCATATAGAGCAGGGGATCGGCAACCTCGGCACTCCAGCTGCGGTGGAACTACAAGTCCCATGAGGCGCTGCAAGACTCTGACAGCTACAGGGATGGCCCCCGGAGGCAGAGATATGATAGATATTGTCTGCTAATAAAATATTACTGTACAAGTCACGGGCGCTGAAGTGTTTCCTGGTAGCTGCTCGGATGGCCGCCGGGCTGAAAAAACAGCTTTTGTCCTCCTGTACTTTACAGGGGACACACAGTACCCACTTAGGCTTTTATGAGTTTGCTAAATTCTGCATTGCAGCCGAAATTCCTGGATCTGTTGATGTTATCTGGCATATGTGTGAAAGTAACTAGGGATGCACCGATACTGGTATTGGTATTGGTGCCGATACCGAGTGTTTGTACTCGGCCAAATGCTCCTGATGCCTAGCCCGATACCGGAACTTCCAGTATCAGAAAGCTGGGCAGCGAGTCATTACATGCTGCCCGTCTTCCTGATTGGCCGGGAAGCCTGCTCCATGCTCCCTCGTCACCAGAGAGCCTGGAGCTGGAGTCATGGGCACCTGACTCCGTGGGTGCCCATGTCTGCCTGACATTATGACATCTTGTGTCTGGGTTTCAACTGGCCTGAAACCCGGACACCGCGCATACAGGACTCAAAACTTGGACTGTCCGGGTGAATTCTGGGCAGGTGGCAACCCTAATTACAGACTGCCTGCAGAAAACTACAAGAGGGAAGTGGAGACCAGTCACCCTGCACAAGGAGAGAGAGCAGCAGTGAGCGGTCTTTATTGCAGGAGGGGGCGGGGATAAGACCAGTCACCCTGCACAAGATAAAGCAGCAGTGAGCGGTCTTTATCACAGGAAGTCTCACACTGTATTTCTGCACAGATCTGGAAGAAATACACAAATCTCACTGAGATTCAAGGAAGAATACACGTGACTCTTGTATGAGGACAATGTTTGCTTACCCCGGAGTTCAGCTTTAAAGAAAGGTTTGGGGTTTCTACATTGTAACAGTTGACTCTACAATGTTGTGATCTTGGTTTGCATGTGACGACATTGCACAATTATTTTCTTTTGATTTCAGTTACACGATAAGCTTGTTTGTTGGCTGTTTTCCCTTCTTAACTTTGATCCAAATTTCTCATCTTTTCAGGTTTTGTGACGGCGGTCATTTTCTGCTCTTTCATATCGAGGAATGTTCTGGCCTCTGATTCCAGGCCTTCTGGTGGAAATGCATCTACAGAGATCAAATGCCCGACTCCCTGCCTGTGCAGCTATGAATACAATGATGAGTACAACATCTTCTGCAGCTCCCGGAATCTTTCCCAGATTCAAGATCAGCTGCCGACTAATGTCCGATCTCTGTGGCTTGATGGCAACAACCTCACCACTCTGCCAAAAGAAGCCTTCAAAAATCTGTCCCAGCTCGATTTCCTCAACCTGCAGAGCAGCCATTTGCATAGTCTGGAGCAACACGCCCTCCATGGGCTGAAGTCTTTGGCCCACCTACACTTGGAAAGGAACATGTTGAAGTTTCTGGCTCCCAACACCTTTCTTCACACTCAGAACTTGGTGTCTCTGAGTCTCAACAACAATTACTTTACTAAAATTGAAGATGGTTTGTTCTCTGGACTCTCAAACCTTTGGTACTTGAATTTGGGATGGAATTTACTGGTGGTTCTCCCAGATACGGTGTTTCACGACCTACCGAATCTAAGAGAGCTTGTCTTGGCTGGAAACCGCTTGACCTATCTTCATCCTCCTCTGTTCCTCAGCCTGGTTGAGCTAAAGGAGCTAGATTTAAGCGGAAACCAGCTGAGGGGAATAAAGGCTCACATCTTCACAAAGCTACACAAGCTCCAAAAACTGTATCTCAACCACAACATTATATCTACCATTGCTCCGAGAGCTTTTGCGGGCATGAAGTCCCTACGGTGGCTGGATTTGTCCCATAATCGTTTGTCGGCTTTGTCCGAAGACACCTTTTTCGGTTTGTTGAGCCTCCATGTTTTACGATTATCCAACAACTCCCTTACAAGCCTAAGGCCAAGGGTTTTCAAAGATCTCCAGTTCTTAGAGGAGTTAAATCTTGGGCACAATAAGATTAAGAGTCTTACCGAAAAGGCATTTGATGGTTTGGACCAACTAGAGTTTCTGTCTTTAAATCACAACAGCATTCAAGAGATTCGTCCCGGGGCATTTTTGGGACTCCTCAATGTGGCAGTGATGAACCTTTCTGGGAACTGCCTCAAAACTCTCCAAGAACATTCTTTTAGAGGTCTGGGCAAGCTTCACAGCTTGCACTTGGAAAACAGTTGTCTCAGCAAAATAAAGCCGCACGTGTTCTCAGGCCTTTCAAATCTCCGGAGGCTCTTTCTCCAGCGGAATGAAATTTTAGGTATAGATGATAACAGCTTCTCTGACCTTCAAGATCTGCTTGAGCTTGACCTCCGCCTCAATAGGTTGACCCAACTTTCAGCCAAATGCTTCACTGGGTTGAATGACCTTTCTTACCTTCTTCTTTCTAATAACCAAATCCTAACCATTTCTTCAGAGACCTTCAGTCCGTTTCAGAGGCTCCACTGGCTTGACCTTTCAGATAACCAACTGAGTTCCACAGCTGCTGATCTATTCCAGCCTTTATCTCACTTGAGGTATCTCAGTCTACAACGGAACCCCCTGAAAACCATTTCCGTTAGTTTCTTGCTGACAAACTCCCCATTGGAGCAGCTTTGGTTGAATGGAAACCAGTGGGATTGCAGCTGCCCACTTAAAGACCTCAGAAACTTCTGCTTAAGAAATGCCACCATTGTCCCACGGCTGGTGCAGTCTGTTTCAGAGGGTGATGACCTTAGTCCTCCAAGTTACATCTACAACAATATCACCTGTGCCAGTCCTCCTGAGGCTGTAGGCCTGGATTTGCGGGATTTGACTGACAAACACTTTTTTAATTGTCCCTGATAATATGGAGTTGGCTACTTGGCAAGATAAAAGAACCTTTAAATTGCAAAACCAAATTCCCCCAATTTCATCCCTGTAAACTAGATAGTCCTTATGCAGAATGTCTACAAAATTAGACAGAATTTGACCCAGCATTTGAAGTTCATGAAAACATAAGGACCACTAAAAGGAACTTGCGGAGCTCAGATAGCACACAGCTATCGCCTCTTTCTAGGGGCTCTTGACTGTTTGACTGCAAAGCCCAGTTGGAGCTCCAAATACAAAAGAGACAGTATGCTGGCTCCAACTTCATGTGTTGGACTGAATTTTCATTGGAATAATCAAACAATATGGAGTTGTGGGGCAAAAAAGGGCCGCACTTGGATAACAGGGCATCATCATCCACTGTTTATGTGCTTGGGGCAGCATAATGGCAACACTGTGAACTTTGGGTGAAAATTCCCCCACTAAGGACCTACAAACCTGCAAGAAACCAGCACATAACCAATCGCAATGGCATCAGGAAATGCACGTTCTTAGGGGAAACAGTCCTTCTAATGGGGTTTTTAGTTTTTAAGTGACTTAGCCAGACAGTTATTGATTTATTTTGGTTCCACTTGGATTGTATCTTGACACGAGAGGAGTCATCTCTTGACAATGGTATTCATCCTACATTAAAGGAGAACTATGAGTTGAGTGATTTTCACTCAACCTCATAGTTCGAGCCGACGTGTGACAATTAAACTGTCACACGTCGGCTCAATAGATCGGGAAGTGAGCAAACACATACCGGCGCTCGCTCACTTCTCGATCATGTCCCTGCAGAGAGCCGTGACTGTCACTCACGGCTCCCTGCAGGGATCCCCCCCACCCTGTCCGATCCTCCAGCGCTAACTGGAGAAACGGAGGGGGGAGGGGCGGTAACAGCTGGCTCTGCCTCTAGATAGGCAGAGCCAACTGTCAATCACGCAGCTGGGTGGATCCAGACAGCAATGTCGGGATCCGTCCCGGCTGCGGCGGTCTCAGTATACCGCGAGCTGTAGCTCGCGATATACTGAGCTTTGGGTCATGGGAGGACGCTAGTTTATGTCCTCCCATGACCCTTAGGAGAACTTTGGGGAAAAACACTGACCCCCATAGTTCTTCTTTTAATAGAAAATATTATTCATTTTATATCCAAATCACTTCTATAGTATTGTTAGTGCCAATGGGATAAGATATTTTCTGACTATTGTGCCATGGTGATGCTGTAATAGAGAAACGTGCATGTCTACCCACAATACCTGATAAAGGTTACTGCAAACTTAAAGCCTAATTCTAGTGATTTTTTTTTTCCGGATAGAATAGGGAAGAGTCAAAAGTGTTGGTCAGGTTGCTAATCTGTGACCCCATGGAAGAGATTTTCCCTCACTTCCTTTATATTCTAACCAAAAATCTATTCACATGCAGCAGATGTTTAGGCATTACCAATTTAAATGAGGCTCCTGTATCATTAATATACTGAACACTGAACGGCTTATTCCATAAAATAGTATATGACCATGTGCACCAACTCATAGCTTTACTTGTCTCGGCTTAGTGTAAGGTTTCTTTCTGCGGCTCGCTTAGCTCTCCTGACATTTTGCAGTGAAATATAATAAAAACCTCAAAAAATGCCACCACCTTTGCATTTAAATTCAAGGGGCTAGCATGTGTGGCTCCATGGTTAGGATTTACATCTATCTTAATTGAAGTCCTTCATTTGATTCCCACCATGTCTGTAGGTGGTGTGTGGGCTCCTTCTGGCCATGCCAACTATTTGCTTTCTGCCTTCAGTCCAAAAACATACTGATGAGGCTACTGGATTCCAACCAAAACTGGCCAGTGGTTGGTACAGGTCAGTTCCAGCAGCGTTCAAAACCACCTTCAACTTCTCTTTGAGGCTGTTAAATGGATCATAATATAGGTGTTGACTGTCATATATGCTGAAGCCTACTTGGAGTTTGCTATAATGATAGTCAGCGTCTCCCTTATCTTCTACATTGAAGAGACTCTGCCACTTTGTCTACTTAGCCCGAGCTAGTCCAGCCCATCACCCACTTATACTCACATTCCTTTTTGCATACTCAATAATCTGCTGCTCCATTGGAGCTGTCCTAAATACCCAGAGGCTCTGGATGAGGGGACTTATGGTACTGTCAGGAACCGGGTCTGAACACAGAGCCTCTGCTGTAGCTGGTGGTGGTTCTACCTGCTGAGCCACCTAAGAACCTTGGATAGCCTCTTGCCTGATCTCCTGTATATCCTCAGTTATACCTAATCAGATGTTGAACTCTGACCTCCTTGCTCCTCCCTTGAACGTCCTGTTTAAGCCATGCCTCTGCACTTCCTCTTTGCCAGATTACTGTGCTCCTGCCTTGATCTTGCTTCCTGCTCCCTCTGTGCTACAATCTACTCATACTGCTTCCCGTGTACCGACCCTTGGCTGGTGATTCACCGACTACTCTCATCGTCTTCTGCTACATACCTGACACCTTTTGGCTACTGACCTCGGCTTGTTCACTGACTACGCTTCTGCCTGCTCCTCCACCACTACCCTCTGCTTGTGTACCAAACCCGTTCTGTTATACTACGAATTGCCTGCTGCTTCAGCTGCTGGACTCTGAGCCTGATCCCAGATCGTGACAGATACCTTGTCACAGAATGCATTGCTTGGGCCTGACCAGCCAATCACCGGGACTGAATACTGTCACCTAAGAAGAAGAGCATCATCCTCATCCCTGTGTAAGCTCTGACACCATTTGACACAGAGCTTACACATGGCATGACTCCTGGGAGAATGGAAGGGCTGAAGGGCTCGGGAAAGGTAGGTATAAGTGGGTTGGATGATGAACTAGTAAGAGTCGGCCAATTAATCCCAGATGAGCTTCTTCAAATATCCCCCAAACAGGACATAAAGTGTACTTTATAAGTCTTCAGATAGCCAATGAATAAAAAGTGTGCAGTGAAATCAGAGGAAGCCATTTCAGTCCAGGAGAGGAGCTGGTACAAGTGTACAAGACTGAAGGGGAGGACGGAGGTCAGATTTTATGTGCTCGCTGTACACATTATTTTTTTTAACCAACTGAAATGTCTACAAACCCTAATAACAAAGCTCGCTCCCTTATGGGTGAATGGTGCACGGCTGGGCCTTTGCTGGGTCAATATTGTTCTTTTGTCTGCAGGCTCCACAGTGCAAACACTTCAGATGGGGGAGGGGATTGTAAAACATCAACCGCGGTGTGTTTTTTAATGATTTCATTGCTTTTTGATGACACCCAGTGAACACATCCGGCGGCGATTCTTCATGGTGGAGGTGGCTGGCTGAGTTGTTTCGGTTTTAACTCTTTACTACATGGACAAACTCTTATTGTACCGGACATGAATATTCAACAATAACCAAAACTGATCAGTGATTGTCTGATATCCTGTTCAATAAACATTGTACCGTAGCTGTGAACAAGTCTGCTTCATACAGTAAATGGAAAGCGAGAGAGAGTGTGTGTGTGTGTATATATATAAACTGTATATCATTCAACCACCGGCGTAGCTAGAAATCACAGGGCCCCATAGCAAAATGTTGTATGCCCCCCCCCCCCCAAAAAAAACATGTTCCCGCTCACTGCTGCAGAGCCCACCATAGACACCACAAAGACCACCAGAGACCCTGCAGAGCCCACCAGAGACTCTCTTTGGTGGGTTCTGCAGAGTCTCAGGTGGGCTGGTCACACCCCTGCACACCTCTTACCTGTCAGCCACGATCCGTTGTCAGCCTCCTCCACCGACGGCACCGGCCTCCTCCTACTCCTCTGACTTCCATATTTGCAGCTGGACCAGGGCCCCAACTCCTCCTCCACCGCCACTGGGCCTGACCTCCTCCTCCACCGGGCACTGTCTCCTCCACCGCCGCTGGGCCCGACCTCCACCGCAGCTGCTGGCCTGTCACTGACTCAGCAGCAGCTGTGAGGATGAACGCGCCGCTGCCCAGATCACTGACAGGTGATCTGGACTGCGGCACGTTAGTCCTCACAGCTGCCAGTGACAGTCCTCAGCCTGCGATGCCATAGCGACCCAGGCGGCCTGCACAGCATCAGGGGGACAATGCTTTCAACTGTGTATGGAGTTCAGCTTTAAGAACATACAGTAGCTAT